AAGAGGGTGTAGGAGGATTGGGTGAAGGTGGGGGCGTTGTCGTTGACATCGGAGACCTGCACAATTATGTTATATTCGGTTTTGAGCCTGGGTGTCCCCAAGTCGGTGACAGTGATAGTGATGTTATACTGGACTCTACTCTCTCGGTCCAGGGCTTTTTCAGACACCAGAGTGAAAAAGTTTTTGAAGGTTGGTTTCAAAAGAAAGGGGAGGTCATCTTGAATAGAGCAAACCATTCTCCCGTTGTCCCCAGCATCATGATCTCGAACACTGAAAAGGGCGACCAGGGTCTCTGAAGCATTTTCTGGGATTGTGTTTGTAACTGAGGACATGATCACTTCCGGTGGGTTGTCGTTTATGTCTAGCACTTTAATCAGAAGAGCACATTTTTCTAAAAGACCCCCACCATCTATCGCCTGAATATTTATAGAGTAGGATTGAATGGTTTCAAAATCCAGTTGCGATCTCAAGTTAACTTCCCCAGACAGTGGGTTGATTTCAAAGGTTTTACGAATATCTTCTGATGCATGAAAAAATGTGTACAATAATTTTCCATAGTTTCCTGTATCCAAATCCTTAGCAGATACGGTGATAATCCAGGTGCCAATAGGTGTGTCCTCTAAGACCTGCACTTCATAGAGATCCTGCGCAAACTCAGGGGAGTTGTCATTGATGTCCAAGACCTTGATGAGAACTCGTGTTGTCCCAGACCTGGGTGGAGATCCACCATCCAGTGCTGTGAGTGTCAGTGTAAGCTCAGATTCCTCCTCATGATCTAGCAGTTTATGTAGAACTAACTCAGGGTATATCTTTCCATCATCCCCATCTCTAATTTTAATATAGAAATGAGAAGTGGGGCTAATTGTGTAGTTTTGAAGACTGTTGTTTCCTACATCCAAATCTTGAGCACTTTCCATTAAGAATGTTGTTCCAATAGTTGCACTTTCTGGTATTTTAATAAGTATTTCTTTGTCCAGGAATGTAGGAGAGTGATCATTTATGTCTGTGATGTGCAGCTCAGCCTGAAAAAACTGCAAAGGATTTTCGAATACTACTTGAAAATGCAGTACACAGGGCTCAGTGGAGCTGCACAGCTCTTCTCTGTCCAGTTTCTCATTTAAGAGCAACTCTCCCGTCAGCAAATCAAGGTATAAATGCTTTTCACCATCATCACACACTACCTGGGCATCCCTTGAGGACAACTCCTCCAACCCCAGCTCCATGTCTTTTGCCAAATTAGCCACAAAAACACCTCTTTCTCTTTCTTCTGCTACCGAGTAATGCAAAGAGTCAATACCCGCCTGCGACAATCCCAACAAAACAAAGAAAACCAGCACTTGCCTTTTCTGCAGAGTGAGCACCCCTCTGATCCTCATGGCTACTACAAGCAACCTTGTTGGGTAGAAAATTTAAGTTCAGTCCTAAGTTTGAAGGATGAAGCTCTGATTTTTAATGGGAGAACCGTGCAGAGAATGTAGCTTTGCAGCAGTTCACTTAATAATGTCTTTTTTGTAGTCTGTTCCAGTACTGGAGCCCACAGTGCTAGCTATGTACTGTTTTCATCTTATCCTGTAGCGCCACCATGTGTCACTATGATTTTTAAATTAATTTCTTTCCCTCTTTGAAAAAGAAATTCATAAATCAAAGGCAAAGCCGCATGTATCATATTTTGCCCTTGGAATGCATAATTATTTGTAATAGATAAGGCCTTTTAAAATATAGTACTATCACAATCAACAAATTTAGCAGTATTTTTATATAATTTTTACTCTGTATTTGTTTTTTCCAAGTTCTGTCCAAAATACTGTTGGTTTGTTCGAATCAAAGTACAAAGATCTGTACTCTGCATTGAATTATCATGGCTTTGAATGCTTAACAAGAGAATATCCATTAAGTGTATTAAACTGAAGAGATAATATTCTATTCAGGCTATTTCATGGGTATTATAAATAAATATTTATAGAATTCAGTCAGTTTTACTTAATTACATCATATTTAAGGTGATATATACCAGGGAAAGAATGCATAAAGTTTATTAAATATATCAGGCATAGAAATATTAGAACTCTCCCTTTTGTATTAAAATATACATGTAAGGACATGACACAAGATAGAGATAATATTTGTCTTTATGGAGATTGCAGGCTAGAAAATTTGGTAGAGTAGTAATTAAAGTGTATCATAATGATACTTAGGTAAAATTAATCTAGAAATACATAGAAGTGACATGTATCTATGTACCTAGGAGGTATATAATCTAGTAGTTGCAAACAATTTTTGGAACCAACATGTCAACATCAGAATCCTGGCTATGCTATTCACCCACTACATATTTGGAAAAATTATGTGTCTCTTTTCCTGCCTATAAAATAGGATACTATAATAATATGATTATTATCATAGGAATCCTATGAGTTAATATTTACAAAGTGGTCAGTAAATTCCAGTTAGAAATCTGTTAAAGACAATTTGAATCTTGGGCGAGAAATGTCGCTTAGTGCTAGAGTGTTTAAAGTGCTTGGCGAGACCCTGGGTTCAGTAAAACAAAATTTAATCAAAACATTGTACCTACATTTAATATATGCAGACTGTTCTCTCCTGTCATGATTCCCTAAACAATACAGTACAACAACTGCTTAAATAGCATTTATGTTGTAATAGATATTAAAAATAATCTAGAGCATAACTATATGCAAATTGCTCTATGAATGTGCAAATTATGCTGTTTTTCATAAAAGGTTATATATAAAAGGCTGTATTTCTTGCTTTATCTCTTGAGGTTTTTTTTTTTTTTTTTTTTTTTTTTTTTTTTTTTTTGTGGAACCGGGGATTGAACTCAGGCCCTTGCACTTGCCAGGGAAGCACTTACTCCACTGAGCCATCTCCCCAGCCCCTATCTCTTGAGTTTTGAGACAGAGTTTCACTATTAGTCCAGGCTGACCTTCAACTCACTCTTTAGCTAGGCTAGCCTTGAACTAGTAATCCTCCTGCCTCAGCCTCTCAAATGCTGGGGTTACAGATGTGCACCATCACAATGGCTCACTGCTCTCTAGACGACCGAGGCCGCTGGATCCTGAACAGACCCAGAGCACAGGCCCGAGTGAGTGAGATGACCCAGGCCGCGGGATCCTGAATAGACCCAGAGCGCAGGCCCAGCACGGAACCCTTCAGCAGAACTCCCTGTAAAGAAGATAGAGGCAAGATCCACCCAGCTGATTCAGGACCAGGACATCTTGCCAGAGAGACACAAAGGGTTCAAGTCTAAGGGCTGCAGCAGAAAGAAGTGGAGCACAGCAGCCAGATCCGAGCAACACCCACCTGGAGGAATCTGAACTTCATAGATCTGGACGTGGAGCTGAGGTAATAACTCTATCCAAGCACTACACCAAAGGTCAAAAGACAGTGGTATACAAAATGACAAAGAGAAGGAACAAAATGCAGTCTCAGGCCCTGAGTCCACCCAGTACAAATGCAGAAGACACTAGCACTGAGGAAACTGGAAATCATACGCCAGATATCTCTGAAGTAATAGCATTGACAGT